TAAACAGTTTGCAGATAGATTACAACCCATCAGAGTCATTGTTATTACAAACCAAGTCTTGTAAAGTAGCGGAAGCAAATAGTTTAACTCACACACATGAGTTCAAATACCAGTACCAGTTCGCCGATCACATCCAACAAAAGCATTCAGATGAGATAACAAGAGATCATACCCATGATCTAGTCTTCATCACCCGCCGGGTGGAGACAATACTTACAGAAGCCCTGATATAGAAGGTCATCTGCAACAAGAGGGAATAAACCCTAAGTACGGTTATGTACTCAGGTAGACTTACCCGACATAAACCAAAAATAAATGACACCAAGGAGTATGCAAGGCTTTATCAGTGGATCTTGCTGGACAACCTTTTTGCATAAAAGCTTGAGTAACCATTAGCATTATTCACCTATACTAGCATTGACTTTTAGCCATTACCTACCATCTATATTAACACATATACTAATCAACCATTTGATTTAGTTGCAAACAATAATAACCATATCAGGTATTTCATGGCTCATCATCATTATCATCATCATTATTATCATCATTTAACCATATCTTTATATTTAGTGAATCTACGTTGCCGCTGCTCAGTCAAGTTCTCATACATCTGATAGCTTTCTTAGGACATAGACTGCCCTCACAGACCAACACTAGTCTTTTCTACGCACTTTGTCCTCACTCATGCGCCCCTAGGAAGAACTTCCCGGTCAGTCACCCATCGCTGCAGGCCAAGCACGCTTAACCTTGGAGTTCTTAAGAGATGGGCTTCCAGAAAAGAAGTTGCAACTTGTTGGTACGAGTATCCTATTAATCCTATTAAGACCTGAGCTGGGGTGTTACATCTGTAACATCCCGCCTCCTCAAGGCCAGGCCCGCTTACATCTGATATCTTTCCTAGGACATAGACTGCCCTTACAGATCAACACCAGTCTTTTCTACGCACTTTGTCCTCACTCATGCGCCCCCGGGAAGAACTTCCCGGTCGGTCACCCATCGCTCCAGCCCAAGCACGCTTAACCTTGGAGTTCTTAAGAGATGGGTTTCTAGAAAAGAAGTTGCAACTTATTGGTACGAGTATCCTATTAATCCTATTAAGCCCTAAGCCGGGGTGTTACATCCTCACCCCTTAGGGAGATCGACGCCTCGCTCGGTCAACCCTAGGCCAGAACGCCTCTCTTGGCCACGTCCGTGTGTCTAGTGCAACAAGATGTGCCATCTTTGGGTGACCACTCTGGGTCCACACCACCATGCGCACCATGCTCACAAGAATCGACACATGCACCGTGAAACCGCAAGGGTCGGCTCGATACCATTCTCAGAACGTCCCGCCTCCTCGAGGCCGAGCCCGCTTTTACATCTCGATAGCTTTTCAAGGACATAGATCGCCTCACAGATCAACACCGGTCTTTTTCACGACTTTGTCCTCACTCATGCGCCCCTGGGAAGAACTTCCCGGTCGGTCACCCATCGCTCTAGGCCAAGCACGCTTAACCTTGGAGTTCTTAAGAGATGGGCTTTCAGAAAAGAAGTTGCAACTTGTTGGTACGAGTATCCTATTAATCCTATTAAGCCCTGAGCCAGGGTGTTACAATTATCACCAAAATCCACATTATAGCTTGATTACACTTACAAACGTGACTGTAGAATCGCATATTAGTGAGCAGTGGAGAAAATCCCCTCGACTCTCTCCTTCCTCTCCCTCTCATCACCGCCTCCACCTAATCAAGCTCCGCCCACGCCTCTCCTTGCTCGTGCCCCGCCTTTGCGTCATACGGGCACCGGAGCCAGAGCAGGACACGAGTCTGACGGATCTGCCGGCAGATCCACCTCTACCTCCTCGCTCAGGCACCGTAGCCCAAGCCCGATGGATCCCTCGCCTTCTCCTCTAGCAGCGACAAGGACAAGTGATGCTTACAAGGCGGAGATGCCTCTTTCTCTGGCGACGGCGGTAGGGCTAGTGGCTCCTAAGAACAAGGTGTCCACCATCGAACAAAAGGGAGTTTGTCTTGCTGTGGTAGTTGTCAAACCGCTCCATGAGTAGGCCTGTTGCTAACTAGCAGACTACCTCCTCTTCCTCGCCGAGCCCCTTCTCATCCTCCTCATTCTCGGCGGAGCTCGAGCATGTCCATGAGTTCTCCCTTATAATTTAGCACACCAAACGCTAAGATTTTTCTCCTTGTGATTCTTATAAAACTTTGTTGTGGAAGAAAACTTTATTTTCAAAACAAGGTTGAGAAAAGTTGTCCTAAACAGGGCTTTATCACTCTTCCAGGTAGGTAGGAGATGACTATGGAAGGGCGTTTTTATAAAGTTTTATTGTAGTGAATAGCACCTGAAGGGGTATGGACCTGCCGCTCATAAGTTTGAACTAGAGTTTGATTTTGAGTGTTTTGGACCTAAATGGCACGGGACCACAAGTTCAAGGGTCGCTAGCACATTTAACTCTATCTATTCGATAAAAATAAATTATATAAAAAACAACCAAAGCGAACTACATGTATATCAAAACATCACTTAGGGCCTGTTTGGAACGAAGAATCCAAAACATAGGAATAGGAAAAAACGCAGGAATAAGGTATGATGAAAAGTGAAAAACTACGGGATTTTAAAACACAGGAACATAAAACTTAGGCTGTTTGAAACACAGGAATTTATAACGTAGGAATAAAGTGCATGGTTCAAGTACAAACATACAGCAACGTCAGAAAAAAGCTAGATTATGGTCGATGGCACACACACGACAGCGATAAAGTGCGTGCAGCTGCCTCGGTCTTCGTGAAGGAACAAAAACCACTAGGTTTGGATGGATGTTTTATTTCCTACGTTTTGTGCATCGACTATTCCCTTTCCTGTGGAATGGAACTCTGTATTCCTTCAATCCGAACACTCATATTCAATTCCTTTCCTATGGATTGTGTTCCTTCAAAATTCCCGTGAAAATCCTTCAATCCAAACAGGCCCTTATTTGATAGGTATAGTAAATAACTTAACGTCTTTTATATAAAATCCAAGGCTATTACACTATATATGTGACAGTAATGACGCTTTAAAGACGGGCCTCCATGGGTGGTGGTAGGTGAATTGGGCCCCGTTCGGCTTGCTAAAACTTTGCTGAAACTGGCTGAAAACACTGTTCTGACTGAATTGCTGTGAGAGAAAAACACTGTTCCCGCTGAAAAAACAAGCTAGTTTCTGGATAGCTTGCTTTTTCAGCCATCACCACATAAAAACAGTTTTCCTCTCTTCTCTGATTGAGATGTGCGCTGCGTCGCGACTCTGCATCCAGCCTGGTGCCTCACCAAATTCGAAATGGAACCCTAGACCCCACCGACTTCTTTTTTTTTAAGAAAAATTGGTTCTATAGCCCTTAAAGAACGCTGTTTTCAGAAAATACCAGTGAAAGATTGTCGTCACGTAGAATACCACCGAAATTTCTAACCGTCACCTGGAAATATCATTCGGTCACAGTCCAAGCTAATGCCGTGCTCGTGCCGTGAAAAAGTATTCCATCCTTACCCTGTTGAACAAGCTGCCGCAGGGCCAGTCCCCCATGGGCTGCGGTGCGACACGCTGTGAAGCAGGTGGTGGCGTTTGCTTGCCCTGTTGCCCACACCCATGTCGTCCACCGGTTCCGCCGCGAAGAGGGCGACGAGCTTGCCCTTGGCTTTGCCGAGCGCCACCGCGAACGCCACCCTTGCCGGCTTGCCGCCGTGTGCGTGGCCAAAGACGCACACCTTGGTTAGGTCTGCGTGGACGCCGAGTGTCAGAGTAGATGGAAGCCCACGTTGGTCATCCACTGAACCAGCTGAGTTGAGGCAACACGCTGCTCGATGTTGTCCGGCCCGGAATGGTGTATTGGTGTACAGTTGCTCGATCGACGAGCATACAGTAGACGAAACATGAAGCTGGGGTAATTAAATTGAACTCGTGGACATGGAGTGATGCTAATATTAATTATTCCCTGTGACCCGAAGCCATGGGTGGCAACACGCTGCTGGAAGCCTGGAACGGCTGGGAGTAGGAGTTGGTGGCGAGGTTAGCTGTGAAGGAACAGGAGCAACGGGTTCTCTCCCTAGCCTCGAGCGGCTTGGCAACGAGAAGCGGCTTCAGCAGCAGGCTGCCCGCATCTGCCGGCGATGAGGACCTTGTGCGGCGCACCTCCATGGTGGCGTGCCATGGCCAATTGGCCTGGTCGAGCCGAGTAAGGATGACGCCGTGACCCCCTGATCGAACACGCCTCAGGAGTCGGAGTCTCGGATCCCATACGCACCAAGAACACGCGCATCGCGAACGCGAGGTTCATGCCTCATCGATCAGAGCAGCTCGTAAGACAGACTATGGCGCCGCGACGCGCTTTCTTGACGGAGCACGAGGCCTCACGTAATGCTATTTTCAGGTAACGGTTACGCATTTCGGTGGTATCTTACGTGACCTGGATTTTAAGTGGTATTTTCCAAAAACGACGTTGATTGACTGTCGTAGAACCAATTTTCCCATTTTTTTATCATCAGGATCACTGATCAACCGCCACACGGGATCTTTCACCGCCTACGCGTACCGGCGTACCGGGGACAGTGCCGCACTCTCTCCCTGACAGCCCTGGACGCATGAGGTTGTCCCCACATCACAGTGGTGTACCACCAGCGATGTGCCCATTGCTCGTGCTGTTTGTGGGGGCGCGGCGCGTGACGGCGTGAGTTTCTCGTCGAGATTCGCCGTGGCGGAGGCAGGCAGAGCCGCCTTTCGCCGTCGCGGCCTCCTGCTCCTCCTCGTCTGCCACCGGCTTCCAAGTCCCAGCGCGCAGGGGCCGACGGCGACGGGAGGGGAGAGGCGGCATTGGTAATCCGGGGGAGGCTGTGGAGCGGAGGGCAGAGAGGGGCTGCGCCGAGCCACGCCGTCCGGGGTCTCCGGGTCGGTCGCCGCAGCTTCCGGCCACGCCGAGGCCGAGGAAACGAGAGGGATATCCCCCGGAGCCCCTTCGCGAAGGTTCCGGAATGGCGGTAAGACTTTCCTTTCTGTCCCCTTCCATGTATTGTGAAGGGATGATCTCTCGCGCCATGAATTCTTGATACTAATAGTCTGGTCCGCTGCTACGGCGATTCCGCGCGTTAGATTGGGTCCCTGATGTCGCGAGGTTGGGTTTTTTTTTCTCCCTTTCTGCTGCTCAACGCTAGGGTTTTCTTAACACTGGATCGAGTTAGAACCTGCATTTTTTTATGCTATTTCGGGATGGATGGTGGTTTGATCCTATTGTTGGTCGAGGTGCCTGATGCTTTGTTCTTAATTCGTGTCACAGCACTGGGTTAGGGAGAGTGATGGCAGTGACAGCTTCGAATGGGATAGCGATGGCAATGGGGAGGAGGCAGCGAGCTTCAACGCTGCTGGTGCCAGTTCATCAGCAATGACATCAACGAACACTGATGCTCCAGGCCCATCGACACGGGTAAGCCAGCTAACTGATCCATGCATATGCAACAATGTGTGAACTCAGCAGCTAGTTGTTCTTCAGTTCATGTTACTCAGGGTTGTTCAAACCACTTGTGCCAAACTGGCCGGCCGGGGGTGTGTGTGTGTTGGGGGGGGGGGGGGGTGAGTGTTGGATATATATGGTAGTCATTGAACAGAAACAGGGATCATGATTAGTGTATAGCGACACGAACACTCTCAATGTTACTGTTACCTTGTTCCTAGTGGTTACGATTGTAATTTCTGTTTGTTTGTGCCGCTGATTTGAAGGTTGCTAATGGCAATGGGAAGGCTGGGCCATCTGCCGCTTTGGTTCAGAAGTATATGGACATGGGTTTTGCAGAAGAGATTGTTCTGAAGGCCATGAAGGACAATGGTACTTAGCTAATAACCCATATCTTCTCATTTACTTAGATTCTAGGTGATTTTATATACTCTATCTGACAATTGCTTGTTCTTTCAGGGGATAATGGAGCAGATTCATTAATTGAGCTTCTTCTTACTTACCAGGTATTCATTTGTGTTCCTACTTCTATTAGTTATTCTTTGATGATGTTGTCGCATGGTGTTAAAGAGGATTTGTATCTACGAAGTGATGCCAAATGCAGGAACTAGGCAATGATCTCAAAGTGGATAATGGCTTTGCTTCTGGTTGTGTCCCCCAAACTGTTGACGATAGTGATGATGATGACATTCTAGAAAACTGGGATGATGAGGATGCTGGTGGTAGAAGCACAAGGGTTGCTAGCTCTTTTGATGATTCTGGAGACGAGGTATTTTGATGCGCCCCCTTGGTGACTGTATGCATTTACTTTATTTTTTTGAGAAACCTGCTATGTATTTAGTTTGTTTCAATCACATTTACTTCTGCATTAAACTTGTTTAATGTTAATCCATTAAGTAGACTACTTATCCTGAAGACCATAAGGTTCCTTACTTTTACTTGCACTTGTTCCTTTTGTTTTCAAACAGCTGTTAGCTACATAGCTGTACTAGAAAGCCAATCTACTTTGTTTTTCCGTTATATTTGGGGACAACTGGGTTCTTTTAGGCAAAACAACATGTTCCCATAAAACCAAAATCCTTAATTTTTTAAGAAAATCGTATTGGTAAGACGGTAAGCAAGATAGTTGTGTCAATCATAAACTTGAAACTATTGCGTTTCATCTTATGCGTATGACTAGAACTCTCGTGTTGGTGATATTCTTGAACAAGACACCACCATGGACTAACAAATGAAATTCCAAAATTGTGGGTGGTTCGTTAATGATGAATTTCTTATTTTGTATCTGACATTCATTTCTTTTTACTTAAGTTTGCTGTAGCCCCTCCTCCCTGTAATAGCATTCTCTTCTACTGTTTTAATTCACAAAAAAAACTTTAGTTATGGGTTATAATCTACTTCCTTTTTTATACTCATGCAAATCAATCACTGATCCTGAGAATTGGAGGCTCTGTAGTGCAACAACATTCCTGTTCAACTCTAACATTGAACTTGCATTGCGCTTTCTGGTGTTTGGCATGTGACTTCATGTAGCTGAGAGTTGATTGAATTGTTTTCCTAAAATTGTCCATAGTTATGAATTATGATACTTCCCATTTTTATACACATTACAAGAATTGTTGTTTTTGTCCTTTGGTTGCAACGCTAGTTTATGTAGCTTGTCAACTGTATTCTAAGTGCTTTCTTGTGCTTTCTACACAGGATTTCTTACATGAGATATCACAGACGGATGAGAAAGTTGATTCCTTAGTTAAAATGGGGTTTCCTGAAGACGAGGCTGCACTGGCTATTACTAGATGCAGTTTCATGCTCCTCTGTTTGCCTTTGTTCCATGCTCCTCTGTTTGCCTTAGATTCCTCAGCAAAATAAACATCAATTTCCAACCTTGAAAGTAGGATATGCTCTCATATAGAATAAGTTAGTTGAATAATAATGTTGTCATGTTTAATTATATGTCAAACTTTCTATTGGTTTATCTCCGGATTTTGATAATTTTCCTCAAATGCAGTAAGTTGGAACTCGTAAATTGTCTGCAACCTTGAACTGAGATAACCTAGAATGGTTGATTCTTTCTAAGCTTTATTTACTGTTTGCATCAAGTCTGGGTATCAAAGCAGGCAACCAACAATTTATTATTCTTTTGGGGTCAGAATATTTTAATTGCATTTGCTGTCAAATAAAACTGTTTTTGCAACGTGTACCACTCAGATTCTGTCCTTGTCCCTGTTTTATTTTAACTTATCTTCAGAGTTTATTATTTGAACTTGTCAAAGTATGCTCCAAATGCCCCTGTTCACTGATCATGCACCTTACGCCATCTACTGTCGTCTGTGGTTTAAAATTACTCAGGGCAGGATGCATCTATTTCTGTTCTGGTGGATTCAATATATGCTTCACAGACCGCAGGAGATGGTTACTGTGGCAATTTGTCTGACTATGAGGTTTGTCTTAGGTGAACTGTCCATACAAGTCTGCAATAAGATTTAGTTCTAATTTAATGGTCTGATAATGGAACTGTGTTTGCAATACTGCAGGATAATTCCTATGGAGGGAGAAACAAAGGAAGGTTCATGGATGGGAACAAAAAAAAGAGAAAGACATATGGTGGTCAAGCACATGGAAGTAGAGGCCCATTAGATGGTAGCTCTAATGAACCCATGCCTCTCCCACATCCAATGGTTGGATTTAACTTGCCAGACCAGTGGACAGATCGCTGCCTTCACAAGCTATGGGTCCACCATACTTCTACTACGAGAATGTTGCTCTTGCTCCAAAAGGTGTCTGGACTACCATATCAAGATTCTTGTATGATATTCAGCCGGAGTTTGTGGACTCGAAGTACTTCTGTGCTGCTGCCAGGAAAAGAGGTTATATACACAATCTGCCGCTTGAGAACAGGTCACCTCTCCTCCCCATACCTCCAAAGACAATATCCGAAGCATTTCCTCATACCAGGAGGTGGTGGCCATCATGGGACCCAAGACGACAGTTCAATTGCCTCCAGACTTGTATGTCTAGTGCAAAACTGTTAGAGAGGATACGTGTAGCCCTTACAAACAGTTCAGATCCACCTCCTCCAAGAGTTCAAAAGTTTGTGTTGGAGGAGTGTAGGAAATGGAATCTCGCTTGGGTTGGCTTAAACAAGGTTGCTCCTTTAGAGCCTGATGAGATGGAGTTTCTACTCGGCTTTCCGAAGGATCACACCAGAGGTATCAGCAGGACAGAGAGGTATCGATCTCTAGGAAATTCATTTCAAGTTGATACTGTTGCTTACCATCTCTCAGTCCTCAAGGATATGTACCCACAAGGCATGAATGTACTGTCTTTTTTCTCTGGTATTGGAGGAGCAGAGGTAGCTCTCCACAGGCTTGGTATACGCATGAAGACAGTTATTTCAGTAGAGAAGTCTGAGGTCAATAGGACGATTCTGAAGAGTTGGTGGAGTCAGACGCAGACTGGTCTTCTGATTGAGATTAGTGATGTGCAGACACTGACATCTGAGAGGATCGAGGCTTATGTTAGAAGAATCGGCGGCTTTGATCTTGTGATTGGTGGAAGTCCCTGTAACAATCTTGCTGGGAGCAACCGTCACCACAGAGATGGTTTGGAGGGCGAACATTCTTCATTATTCTACCACTATGTTAGGATCTTAGACTCCGTCAAGTCCATCATGGAGCGTTTGTAGCTTTTAGAATCTTTATTGTTTTGGTTCTTGAATTGTAGCATCTTTTCTTGTGATCAAACTTGTGAATGATTTGAAGGTTGACTGGTGTGATTCTCATGTCACTCTAATTTAGGCTACTTTTAGTTTAATCTCCTTTGGTGATCAATGCAAATTAATGTTGGTGCAATTCTGTGTCACTGTTTGGTGATTAATGCAAATTGATGTTGGCGCAGTTGTGTGGCACTGGCAGTTCTGATGCTTTCCCTTTTTAAGTTTGTATTTCTCAATGAGAGATCTAGTATCTTTGTTGCAAAAAAAAAAAAAAATCTGAAATCGTGGAGCTGTGAAAAGGACAATGCTATAAGCTCCTACCGCCCACTGATGGTGAGGACAGAGGATGTCCTGCCACACTATGTGCATCCAACCCAAAATATCCTGCTTTTGCTCACGGTTACCACCATACCACAACTCCACCCAAACCATAAAAACCAGTGTGGCAACAATGAGAGCTAAAGCTTCCAGGCTCTGAATCATCAGGATGTCTGTGCCAGCATCAGCCCAGGTGCCTCAGCCTCACACCATACGACCTGTTGGGAGCTGCTTTAGGTTGCATCAACTATCTGCGCAGAATTTGGACCGATGTGAGTTCTCGTTCTCAGCTTTGGCCTTCTTTTTGAAGTGTATGCATGTTGAATACAGATTCTAGAGTCCCTTGTGTTTGTGTAGATCGCAGATGGTGGGGGACTGGAAAGAAGATGATTCTTTCCACTCGTGGTGTGCTTGAATCCAGCAATGGTGCACATTCTAGTGGCCTTATGAAGAAAAGGTGAGTTGTTTTGTAAGTGTTGCATTACCAAATCACTTCAAATTTGTAAAATTGTTGCCCAGAAATTGACACTGTGAAAGTATCATATTTACATCAGTGTTCTAAATTCTGCATACTGTCACCTCATGCCCTGGACTATGCAAAGCTGTAGTAGACAGCTGATCTAGTACACTTTGCAGAAAGATTTTGGAGCACATTATTCTGCTTAGAGCCAAGCCAAACATCTCAGATGCTGAAGAAAGAGATATGCTGGACTACCTATATACATCACAGTATCAGATGAGAGGGGTACTCTGTCTCATTAGGTTAGGCTTATATACACTTCAGCTGTAGAATCAGTTAATAAGTATAAACTTCAATTTGGTATTTGTGATATATTGGATGCAGGCCGCATAGAGGACCCCAACAGGGAGAATTTCACACATGCTGTCTTCGCGTTTTCAGCAGAAAGAAGACCTCACAAAGTTCCAGAGTAGTGCATACTATTCAAAAATTGTTGATGAGCACGTAAAACCTGTTTCCTATGTATGCCTCAGCATGTAATCTTCTTTCCAGTTCTTACACCATACTGATTCTCTATGCTCATAACACTGTGATAGACACTGTTTGGATAACTTACAGGGCTCGGTTTCTGTAGATTTCGAGTCCGAGGTGGAAGATGACATTATACCTATCTTTCGTAGGGGAGAGGTAACTCAAGCTACCTTTTCCTGGCGTAAATCGACACCATTCTTTAGGTATGTAAAAAATGTCCCAATGCCATTTTTGCACTAAAACCGAAATGTTGTTTCCTGTGGCAGGATTTTAACTACGGTGTCGAGTTTATGCTGCTGATATCTTTCTTTTAAGACTGCATCCGGAGAGGCAACGGAGGATGCATTAGCTTCTCTTCAGAAGTTGATCAGCCAATGCAGTTCTTTTACTGTGCAGGCAACCTGCAGTAAGACAACATGATATCCTTATGGTTCTTCGGTCACATTGCCACTGCGACTGCGATTCTGTACACGATTGCTAAGGCTGAAGATATATAACCTATTTATCCTGTTCCACATAGATCGTCATTAACATGTACATTTTTTGTTACAAGCACTTTTTCCAAAATCTCATGGAACTGCTTCTAATGTTATATACTTTTATTTTGTATCAGGCTGCTGTTTGGATCATCCGGATAGCGGATACAGTCATGCTGCACTAATCCGTTTCCCATCATGTTAGTGAGCTATAAGTTCTCTCTCATCCTATGCATGTCAGAATCTCTGTGTATAAGTTAGCAGCATGTTAGAGCTATGGTTGCTTGCTCAATTTATTGTATCACGCAGTTGACGACTTGAAGCTGTTCAGGGAGAGCATGGAGTACAAGGATGTAAGAATTCTGCTCACACGGATTTCAATTTGAGTTGCCTGCCTGGATGGCTGGATCTGCATACCACATTCTACTAACCCAAAGTAAATTAAAACTAGAAAAATACAAGATAGAGGCTTACATACAGAATATGATGGTGCAAATGCAGGGTTGGATTCCAACTCTGAACTGAAGCAGGATGTGTTTGGTCTGTGAGTTGCAGATGTGGGCATCGAAGTTCCACCTGGTCGTGGAGAGATCCCTCCACCTGCATTTCACCGTTGACCCCGTGGGGAACCAGCTGATCTAGACCGAGCAAGCGATGACTGGCATTCTGCCCTGACTACTCTGAATTTGCTACTTTGCTACGTGCCTACGTGGTCGGGGTTGTTTGAGCCGCTGCAGCCTGCAAGCCTCAATGGGATCTCCAAGTTGGACAAGAAAAAACAGATGAACGCCGATAACCTCACTTGGAACAGATGTCATCAGGCATGTGCAGTGGTAGTTCGGTACAGAGTTCAGGACAACAAACAGTAATCTGACTGAGATGCAACAAACAGTAATCTGACGGTGGGTGTGACTCGGTGGAATGGACCACAGGACCAGGTAAGCTGCTCGTCACCATCCTGATTCCTTTCCACAAAGGAGAACTCGTCCAAACGCATAGATTTCGATCCAAGACGTCCTCCCAAGCCGGTTTTGTCACTGGTCGGTGCCCATGCCCATGCTAGCTCTCTGACTGTGTAGTTGGAGTATTTCTGTGTCGCTTTACTATTAACTAACGTCGCCAGAAATGGAAGAAAATCAACCGCGCTAGCTAGAATAGAATGACCGGTCGACGGTGAGGTGTCGTGTTGAGGGATCGGCAGCGTCTGCTCCTCGGTTTCACTTTCACTTTCACTTTCACTTTCACTTTCACCACGACACCACCCCGTCCCGTCGTTCACGTTCACGCGCGGTGACAAGGATTTCACCGCGGTAGACGTCGGGCGGGCGGGCGGGTGGATCCGGCGACGAAATCAGAGGAGGGTCCCACGTGTGGCGTTCAGGCGTTTGTTTGCCATTGTAGTAGTCGGTCTGCCGTCCAAAGGCGGTTCAGCAGGGCAAGCCACACGGACGCCCAGGATTTCCAGATGGGTGTGGCTCTCTCAAATCTGATCGAAACTTGAACTTCCTGTGTAACCGGAGTGCACCGAGTAGATCAGAGAAGAAAGCCGGCGCCATATATATGATGATGTTTCCAGATCTTGATGGAACTGTCTTAGTACTAATAATTATTAGAACTATATAATGTATTTACAAGTTTACTTCTACCTCTGCTTGGTGTTGCAGGGCGGCACCTACGGTACCTTTCTATGTTCATTAAAAGGTGCAGTAGTAAACCTCCTGGTTGCCTCCTTGGTGTGTGTTGATCATCTACATAATATCAATAAAGGCATGCTTAATCGCAAAAAAAAGGGTGTGTTTGGATGAGACCCTGATAGGTTGGAACCAGGAACCTCGGCCAGCGGACCTCAGGCGTCCATAATCGGGCGCCTAGGAATGATGCCTGCGCCAGGTATGTTTTGTCTCGGCCATCAATCGGAACACGACCTAATAGCATGTAGCGCAGCAGCAAGCAACAACATAAGTGATCAAAAACAGACGCAACCAGCCTCAGAGCCAGATGCAATGATAATAGCATGTTGCCTCATCATGATTTATGATTTTTAGGACAAATCAGTTCTTAATAAAAACCTATGTAGCTTTATTTATTGAATGGTAAACCATGCTAATGAAAAATAAGCCCTTTATTACAAGGAACATATAGAGACATGCAGACCTGATTTGGGCCAAATCTATATTTGTCGAGCTAAAACATCAAGTTCTGTGGGACATTTTTTTTAAATCCTAGAACATCAAGTTTTCTGGTACGAAGGGAGTATCTTAACCAATTGCCTGGGGAAAAATTCAGCTATAGGGTATTATAGCCAAAATTATAGTTCCCCAACGAAGTTACCAAAATTGTCGAGACCAAATCTAGTCCTACATCCAAAGAGCTAGAACATGCTCATATCGCATATTGATTGATACGAAGCGAATTGTTAGGATGGTTCTCTCAGGGTTTTACCGAGAAGGGTAAATATCACACTTTAGGTGGTAAAGGATGGCTAAGTTTGCGAGCCAACCAACAAAGGATATCTATCGTACATACTTGATGATGAACAACTAGTTTCTAAACAAACTAGCAAAGGAACCGTCAAAACTCTCGGATGGGAGGTACCCAGTCAGGGTAGGTGAATGGGCAAGTCTAGGGCACCGCACCACACCACCTCTGATCATTAGATCAAGATATGAACAACATGCACGATTTGGAAAAGTAGGGAACAAGTGAAAACATGATGAGAAGTAATAGAGTAGAATGATTTGTTCCATTAGATGTCCTTCAATCGACATGAGCCTTTATATATTTATAGGTTGGGAAGGTCTTGTCTTGTTAGAAGTCAACAAATTCAGTGCCAAATACAACTCCTAACTTGAATTTTGACCAAACTGGCATGTACGGTCCTCTCAATCGTCTCCAACTGGCCACAACTTCTCCATTCGAACTATAAATTGGGAATTTCACATATAAATTTTGATCTTCTCAACAAGAGCGACGCAATAGTGAAGTCCATTATGCAATTTGACACTTTTACCAAAGCCATCCCAGATGATTTTGGGAAATCAACCAGGCTAGTTTTCCAATTTTGGTCAATAAAGACATTATTTTTGGCGAAAGGGCCTCTAGCGTAGTGGTTAGAGCATCTGAGTAACATCCAGCAGGCCTAGGTTTGACTCTCCGTGCGAGCGAATTAAACGGGCCTGGAACAAAAATTATTAAAAAAAAATAGGTTGGGGTTCCCTTGCTAACTTCGGTAAAAAAATAGACATTGTTTTTAAAACTTTATTTACTTATTAGAAATACGCTAAATTTTTATTTAGGTGTTTTTCCAACATATGAAGATGAAAGTACTATTATCTCTAATTTTCATTACTGAATTTAGCAATTTACTCATCATAATTTATATGGATTATTTGTCTAGGTAGCTTTCCTTTGCCCCTGAGAGTTAAGATATGAATTTTAACTTTATGTACTTGTAGTAATATATTAGCTTTTTATATTGGTGTTTTTTCAAACATATGAGAATAAAATTTTTAGTGTTGAACCATCTACTAATTATAATTTATGTGAGCTATTTATTTAAGTATTTATACCTTCTTAATTCTTTTGGAAACTAAACTATAGTTTTTCAGAATTTTTATTTAAAAACTTAATCATTGTTTTGCATGGCCTCTTCATTTAAGATTTTTTCTTTACAAATCATATGAAAATTGACTTTCTATTTTTCTAAATTTATTATTTATTAGTTGTATCAAGCGTAAACTCTTTATTTAATCTAAACCGTTAGATCGTAAAATCTTACAATATAGGTCCTTTTTCGATTAATGTGGTAATTAGATCCTCGTAGCAGACGTGGTGACTCTTTCGTTGGAGACTAAACTATTAATTTTTAGAGTGTTTATTCAAAATTTGCCTTTACTAATTGTATTTACATGGACTCTTAATTGCAGTTTTTTTTCTTTGCAACTCGTATGAAATTAAATTGCTATTTTTAATTATTTTTAGAATTTACTATTTATTACTAATTATATTAGCTATAGACTTTTTTGTTTAATCTAAGCCTATATCAAGTTAAAATCTGAGGGTGTAGATTCTTTTTGTTTTTTTTTTCCAATTAATGTGGTAATTTCTTGATCCTCTCGTGAACATCGTCCCTCTCTTGTTTTAATACCATTGTATAAACCTAATGGGCTTGCTAAGGATGGGTCAACTTCTTCCCACCATAAAAAGTTTTTGGGCTAGTCCAACTGATGTCCAGATGGCATGACCGGATGACTAATCATGATTATTAGTCAGTTGACTAGTTTTCTAGTTAAGGTGTATCAAGGGGCTTTTATCGAGTCCAAGAGGATACCTGGAGGATCCCGATTCCCACGGTCTCAGAAGTGAGAAGAAGAAGAAGAAGAATAGGCGTGGCAAGACAATAACTGTCAGGCGCAACTTCCCGGTACGTATCAAAAGTCGTATATGCTATTATATTGTGCATGCTCTCTATATGTTCTAATAGATTGTGTTATCGTGCAGTGCTCCAAACGACCTCCAAGGACACTATTATGTGGATATTATGTTTGCGAGTACCTTAGAGCGTGTGGCAAATTCAGCATAAGTTACAAGGAGCTCAAGAAATCACAAGACTAGTGGCAAAACGAACGAAGGGGTGGTCACCGACAAGAAAATAACTCAAACTATAGCGGACATATGTGGAATTCATCATGCTCTCTATATGCTCTCTATATGTGGATTTGTCTTGCACAAATGCATACATCGAGGAGGAAAGTTCTTCAATCACGAGAGCGAGCTAGCGTACCAGGAGAAGTACCACAAGCTCAGAAACTGGCATCAGCTGCACTTACAGGATTACAAGTTGCCGGACATCTTTAATTAGAAAATGGCGAACTACAAAACATTGCAAGTCTTAGTTTCATACGATGAGATGTGTGTTCTCTGCGTGTGTATTGTCTGCTTTGTCTGTGTTTAAATTGCGAAAAAATTAAAATTCAAATAAAATGGTCGGAAACTATTTTTTTAACTGAAAAATCATTAACGGAGGCGTGCATGTACGAAATGGCCGCCACCGTTAATCGATTAATGGAAGGGAGCTGGTTAGGGAGACCGTCTCCGTTAATATACATTAACGGAGGCGGTTGTTGTAACTTGACCGACCGCCTCGAGTTTAACACAATCTACGGTTTGTAGAAGAGATATCCTCCGCCTGCTTCCTCTCCTCCTTATCGACGTCCAGACGCTGATGCACCTCACTCGTTTGACTGTCAACGTTCTGTTAGTGGACGACACCGAAATAATCCTATCACCTTTCCTCGGCCTGCTGCTCTTTTCAGCGGTGATCGCCGTCATGAAGAGGCGACACCGCCACAGGCGTCCCAAGCAGCCCGCGCCCTCCAATGCGGGCAAAGGCGTAACCAGGGGGGCTAGCAGGGGCCAAGGCCCCCCCCCCTATGGTCTGAATTTTTTTATATACTCCTGCTTCAACTATAGTAATAGTAGGTATTTCAAAGAGATGGAGCTCTTGAAGGTACTATATCCATGCATTTCCTTCATCTTGGCCCCCACTTAGGTTTTTATCTGGTTCCGCCTCTGAATGCGGAGGCCACCCGCTCCGGCGAGACCGATGACATGGTGTGACATGTGAGCCATATGTATGGGGCTGTGAGTCTCTCTATCTAGAATAGGAGTGGCTATACATCTTTCGGTTGATTTTATTTTAATCCATCAATAAGTTTTGTGTCCAATCGTTTCATGACACGTAGGTCCTGAAATCAAATCAGAATCTGGTAGATAAAGAAAAAAGAATTAGCCCAAAATTTAGAGTGAATAAAAAGTGATTAAAATTCCAACAAACATCACGTGCATGCAGCAACAACCCTCACTCGCGGGAATCTCACATGAAAAAAGAGGAGCTTCAGAATAACTGAATCAACTAAAACAATAATAAAACAGAGTTTGTAATGAACTCAATCAACTGAAACTAATGGAAACATTACAACTGAAAAGGAGTTTCTAAAAATCAAATAATTGAAACTGAACACTGACAATACTCCATCGCTAGGTTTCTAAAAATCAAATAGCTGAAACTGAACATTGACAGTACCCCATCACTATTGCTTGAAAATGACACATCATACAATTACAATTGCAAAAGCTGCACAACTAAAAAAAATTAACAATGTGTGCTGAAATATTGAAATGACTTGAACTAAAATAAATTAAAAAGAACAAACTGAATAATAGGATATCGCTCAATATAAAAATAACAATATATACTGAAAAAACTAAAACTAATGAACATACTGAAAGGAAACAAACTCAAATAGGAACTTACTACTAATTACACTGCAGACATATAATCTTAATATAGGCAGTGTGCAAGTCTGCTCACTAATACTTTATCAGAATCACCTTTTGTGCAGCACATCAATTTAACTGCAGTTGTTTAATTCCTGAATGTGTGGGAGCACAATGAATCAGTAATCACATGGTGATGCCTTCGGAGTTCAAGCTCTCCCTGAACCTCTCCAACGTCTGCGCTCCAACTTCATTCAGGTACCATGCATCAATGATAACAGGCTCCTCTCTCACGCCCATAACTTGCTGGCCACCTAGCCCAACTCATCCGTTGATACACCCTTTGCCCCGGGACGTCTGCACACACAAAATTTGTTGACAAAGCAAAACGAATGAAATCCAAAATCAGCTGGGAGATACGGATGACAGCACGCCCCTCAGGTTCAGTAGGCGACGAAGACGATGAGTGAAGCACAGTCCTTCACTGACAGCGACGGCGACGCCCGGCGCCGACACCTCCGCGGCTCCGCCTCCGCCGAGCACCAACCAGACCGTCTCTCTTCTGACAAGCACCAAGGTGCGTCAGAATCGGGCAGCGGGATTTCTAAATAACTCTCAGATGATATCATGTCATGTTTTCATTCGCTTTTGTGTGGTTGAGGATGTATAGCCACTCCCAATTAACGATTTTTCTCAATCACCGTAATGATTTCTGTGCTCTGAAAATATGGTGGGCTGATGCCTTCTTTTAACACTATCGTGGTAAAATAATAGATAGATAAGTGTACCGTCATGCAGCCTGCAGGTTTGTTTGGGAGTTGGGAGTACCAGAATTCTCATAGAAATTGAATTGCGTCGTGCGAGATCCAAGTTTCAGAGCCTAGTCTTTGACTCCCTTGGGCATAAAACCAAATCCACCTGCCCGAGCCCGACATTACATTCGGTGTTCTTTATAAGCGTTCACCACGAATCAGTATACTCCACAGGCAGCTTGTTCAAATCTATGTTCTTTATCCAGCCCGTAAATCTAGTTCATTGCTCCAATTCAAGCCAATGCAAATAGAAAATATTATACAGACACATTGAACATCGACTGAGTTATTCCAGAAACACGGACTCATACACTCTGATTCCAAAGACTGGAAGCAGTGTATCTAAGTTCTTTCGACGGGCGAAATGAGAATTAGTTTATTCCTTGCTGCAGAGTAATCATGCCGCACAACCAAACTGAAGACAGCGGAAGTTCATTGAGCGGCTACGCTAGGAGGGTACCAGTCATCACAGTAACAGCTTCGCCCTGAATTCGCACTCTCCTGCCTGCAGCTTCTAACTCCAGGTATAGTATTCCACTCCGTGGAGATGCCTGGTGACACAAGAATGAATTCAAAAACCAATCTGATGATTCATCAAGGAAATACTAAAGCGTTGCAAAAACATACTTGAAATGCCGTCAGTTTGTGTTTCCCCAGCTTCCCGCCCCAATAAGGTGCTAAGACACAATGCGCACTGCCACAAACGGGATCCTGTCAAAACATAGTTATTAGAGGGTTAGGCTGTAGTAGGAATTTTGTAAAACTAACACAGGAGAGAAATCAAAACAGAATTTTCCTAAACCGTCGGGACCAGGAGAACCGGACATTGTACCAGACACAAACATTTGTAATTCACTACTACAAAAATAGTAGATTTTTTTGAATAAATGCAGCAATAAGAAATTTCGATTCCATGATAACATATTCTCTGAGGTAAAGAATTTTATGTATAAACAAGAACAGTGAAACCAGACTTGTAAGGTGCTTAGTGCCTTATTAGAAGGATGGAATGTGATTGTATCATGATACAGAATAGCTATTCTGATAGATTATTCTCCATGCACAGAATATGTATGGCTTCTGGTTAAGGATCAATATGCATCTCTAATTGAGAAAAAGGAAGCCACAAGAATATAGGTATGTGGTGTTTACTACATGCATGTAGTCAAAATTCATAGTAGACAGGCAGGAAAATAAAGCATTCACGAGGTACCATAAAGGTACATCATGAGAACAGTCACAAATTCTCCTATATATATTTGATACTAAAATGTATAATACTGCAATTTAAGTTTATGTTAAGCAATCTTAGCTCCCCCAATGTATATATTTTGGACAAAGAGTATGACATCACCTCAGGTATCCCAAATTTTGGGCAGAAAAAACGCGTGAAGAAGTCATAACCAGATCCAGCAGGCGCTGGCCCTGTAACAATAATTCCTCCACCAGAACACATTTTAATTTCATGAATGTTAGGAATGATATCAGCAACCTCTTTTCCTGATGAAAGCTCCACCTGAAAGCAAAATCAGATTTTCTTGTGATGAGTTACCTGAACAAACTGAACTCCCTCATTATCAGCTACCACTCTTGTTTATCTTTGTTTCATTGCTTCTATGTAAACTTTATGCAGCCTACAAATAATTTTAGTGCTGTTGTACGTAGGATTATCATGTTCTTGAAAATTTGTTTGGAATCTTTCCATCCATTTTCATGTTGGTAAATTTTGGATATAATGCTTGGGCATCAAAGTGCATTACTAGGCAGTAGGCAGGCACCTACATCAGTAGCATTAGAAAATCTAGACATTTCATCAGTAGCATTAGAAAATCTAGACATTTCAAGCAGGAAAGTAAAATAAGGATTAGGAGAACTACAATGAGGTCACCAGCGGTCGTTGACTTGTGAACGCTGACAATGGAAGCTCCGTTCAGCGTCTCGGGGATGGACGGCAGCTCAGAAGGATGGCAATCAACGAGGTCAATCATGGGGAAATCCAGCTCAATGAACAGTTTCCCCTTGCCTGACACGCCCGTACTCTCCGGCGCAGCAACCTTTTTGGCGGTAAGAATCCCCGACTTGGTCGAGAACTCGATGAGCGCCTCGTGCTCCGCGAGGACGGATGTGAAGAGGAAGTGGGCGGAGGCCAGCGTCGCGTGGCCGCAGAGCTCCACCTGGAACGGCGTCACGAACGCCCGTGTCAAGAGAAGACTGAAGACCGAATTACGCGCAACCGTGCGACGATGAGTCGGGTGGCTACCTCAGCGGCGGGGGTGAACCATCGGAGCTGGAACCGCGGGGCGGCGCCGGCCGCGGAGGAGTCCCGGAGGAGGAAGGCGGTCTGGGAGAGGTTGAACTCGGAGGCGACGGACTGCATCCACCGCTCGTCAGCGGCCTTGGCGGCGTCCTCGAGGAGGCACACCGCGGCGGGGTTGCCCTTGAACGGCCCCGCCGTGAAGGCGTCCACCTGCGACGACCACGGCGACGATGTCAGGCCTCCTGCGAGGGAGATAAGAAAAGGTAGTATCGCTGCAAGAGAGTACAGAGCAGTATTACTGACCACTGCGTACTGGATGCCATTCTTGCCCATTCCTGCGACGAAGAAACAGCTCCGGGCTCCTGGGCTATGGCCGCCGCCGGCTGCTGCTCCTGGCTATTTCCTATGCCTGTCTTCTAAAGGTCGAACGGGTTAGCCGTCTGCTTTTTGTATGCATGATGACTAAAGCACGACTGCACGAGTGAGTGCGTTGTGGTGACTGCTGAATGCTGCGATCAGCAGTGACGACATCGAGATTGTCGCCTCTCGAAAATGTACTGAAATAGGATATCAACTACTGGGTCACTGGGGACTACCGGAATTCTCAGAGGAATTGAACTGCATCACTGATTTGAGAGCCAAGAAATGCCCTGGCTCCCCTGGGCATCATACCAAATCCACAGGCAATTGAAGCCAATGTAAACAGAAAACAATGCACAGACTGAACATCGATTAATTCATTCCAGAAAAACCGAGGTCATACACTCTGATTCCTTAGTCTGGGCGCAGTGTATCTAAACTTCTTACACGGGTCGTAAGAGATTTAAATTATTCGCGGCTGCAGAGGAAGTATGCCGCACAAACTGAAGATAGTCGAAGTTCATTGAGAAGCTCAGATCTGGTCCAGGATCACCTCTGCACCAGAAACCTTAAAGTCGGACGGTGCTTCCTCAACATTGAAAGACTTGATCTTACCATTGTCAACAAAGGCAGACCACCTAAAAAATGACAATGTTGTCAAGATTTAGACCAGAAGACAGAAACCAAGCATAAGATGTATTGTCATTACTCATAAGCACTAGATATTAAGCATACTTTCCTTGCTTAATGGGGAAATGTAAAAGATACTCTTTGTCTAAGAACGGTTGTTATCATGTCAGACTGGGATGTCTTCTATAGTATTATGAACCTAGTGAAATGAAAGCAACACTAAACCAGATGGCATGTGGTTCTGCTGACAAGGGCATGGCTGGAAATAAATTACATAAAGGGTGCACTAAACAAGGACAAATTTGTCAGAACTCAGAAGACAAAGGAGCTTTACTAATCAGGCGGTGTGATAAGTAACTCGGTATTAAACTACGTGACACCATCCTTCAAACTGTAATATAAGGGCAGAAGTTTAAGAATGACTGCAAGTTGAGTCCATTAACCTGTGAGAACGGCGGCCAAGCAAAGCAGCAGAAAGGTCTATCTCCAAATCCAAGCTTTTGTGGAAACTCCCATCAAAGTCACCATAGAACTCAATCTATATTTTCCAATCATTGCATATAGGAAAAATATGAATATGCATATGATCTCAAGGGAATTAATATAAAGTTACAAATAACTAGCAACTGCACATACTCAAATTTGCAGTTTTTTCCTTTTTGTTAAGATCATAAGACGATACATCTGAAACATGTTTCCCATAAATTTGAAATCTAAATTAGATCATTCAATCATTCATCAGTACAGAGAAATTGGGGTGAGCTTTACGAGACATGACATGAAATTAGCATTTGGTAGTTTTATGCACCAAGGTGAACGGAGTGCAGCAGAAGTATAAAAAAGCACCACATCTGATGTAGAGTCTCAATAATTTAGGGGTGTGACTCGGCATATTAGGTGGGAAAACAAGGAAAACATCACAGGTTGACTGCATATAGGACAATTGTCAATAGTAAGGAATTACTGAGGAGGATAGGATGGGAATATAATGACGACAAACATTTATGAAGTTGAGAACACCAAATAAGTAATAACACTTGACAGCAAAAGGCACATAGTCCTATCACTATCACAATGATAATAGCACAATACTTGGATACATACATTATGTACCCTCATTATATTTCAGATTCTCTGCTAAAATGGTAATCCTGTGAAGAATAAAGATTAAAGGGTAGTTACTTACTGCATCTTTAGCCTCTAGCTTTTCTGCCCATCCATTCAGGACATACGGATCATTCACAGCTACACAGATAACAGAGTCGACCCCTTTTGCTTTCAACTTGTCAATATTGTTCTTGTAACTAGGAACATGCGCTTGTGAACAAACCCCTGTATATGCACCCTGGAATAAATTCAAAAGATAGTTGCCAAACCATACAGTCATTAGATCATTTGAAGTGAGAGAATTCTGCCTTTCAGAATAAAAGATGGAGAAAGACAATAAAAGGAATAATACCAAAGGTGGAAATATACAAATTCCAATGGAATGGATCACCAAGGAAACAACAATGACTAGAAACTCTGGGAGTAGTGTGGATGTGTTACAATGTTTTCTCATGGCTTAGAAAATGAAACATGGATCCTGTGGTATGCCCATATAAGATTGTTTTTTTTTTTTTGGAAAGTAATGGCAGGATCTCTGCCTTTCAATTAAGAAGAATACGATTGGCCTAGTTTATAAGGGAAACCAGGCCTAAAAACCTTACATAGGCACATCTTAAAACACGGAAAATACCCACAACACAGAAAATACCCATATAAGATTGTGATTGTCCTTTGAGTATCATCGAGTACACATACCTATCCTTATTGCCCTATCAGATGAGACGAATGAAATGTACTGTAATGTTTTCTCCTAGGCATCAGAGATGAACATCTCTAGTTTGTAGAAACGCCATCCAATGTATAAGATACAGCATTCAGATTTCACCATGGTCACTAAAACAACATAACTTCCCATTCCCAATTCCTACGTCTATTTCCCAAATTAACGTCCTATAGCAAAAAACACACCCATAATCAACGTTCTACTGAGGCATCCCTAATCCCCTAATGTAAATTCAGGCCTAGCAAACCTAACGAAACAATTCCGCACCAATGTAAACAACTGTCTCATCTAGCGACCCTAAAATGGCCAAACATCTACATGGAGAGCAGAATGGAAGCAGTGGAGAGGGGAACTTACGGGCAAGCCGAAGATGACCACCTTCTTCCCCTGCGAGCACAAGGACAGCAAGCAAAGAGGTAAACACAACTAAATTGGCCGGTATGGACTATATAGCAGAAGAAGACATGGGCGGAGCAGCGCTGCGCACGTAGAAGATGTCCTTGAGAGGCGTGGTGGCGAACTTGGTGGCGACGCCCTCGTCCCAGGACCGCGCCTTCTGCAGCGATACGCCGGGCACGGCCGAGACGATGTCGGACCCCACCGACGCGAAGCCCCTCGCCGCGCCCCATAGCGCCGCCGCCGCCGTGGAGCGCCCCGCCCTCCTCGCCAGCGTCGCCGCCATGGATTCCTTTTCCTCTTCTGTTTCTCTCTCTCCCACAATAGTCACAACTCACAACAGTCCAGTCTCCACTCTCCAGTCTCAGGTGCGAGATGGGATCAGACAACCAAAAAAAGTCACAACTATCCTCGAGACTAGCAGTAGCAGGTTAAGCCACTGCTCGTAAGAATGGGAGTCTAAACATGGGTCTTTTGCAGATTTGATATTGGATCTATATTCATAGATATAGATGGACTCACTTGTCATCCACTCGAGTGTCATTATAATAAGGAGTCAATCTTTCGAGTATCATTTTTGTAAATTTTTCGTAATTTGAGAACTCTCTTATTCTTAAATATCTACATTCTTTACATTTACTATAACAGGAGCCTTTAAATAAAAACCCTCAAATTCATTTCAGTAGACATTGGCGTGTGGGACCTACTCAGCATTTGGCCATATATATCACCGTTCCAATCAACTAGGCTATCACGAGAGAGGGCGAAGAGCATCAGGGCACGGGACCTCGGCAAGGTCAAGTGCCTTGCCAGCACGAGAGGAGCCGCATTGAATGGACCTGACCGGAACGGACGGTAAGGACGTCCGAGAGGGTAGCCTCACCAAGCCGAGGGGTTTCGCTAGAGGAGCCACGACAGGAGAGGAGAATAGGGCTGCAATGTGGGAGTGAGTTGGTGGGGAGAAAATTTTCTTGGCAATGTAGCTTCTTACGCACTCATGGGAGATGGGGCTAAGAGTGGAGATTTGAGGGTCTTCATAAAATAGCAACTTGAGTTAGGACTCTATTGGATTAAGGTTTTTTCTCTGGCACAAAAAAATAGAGTACGAGCTCTATTTAGAGTCCTTGTTAGAGATGCTCTGTTTGTCCCCTTAACTAAAAACGTTTGGCCTGCCCGACTACACTTTTTGGCATAGCTCAGCTGCTATGGTTGCTTGTGCACCACATCTATTAATTTTGCTCCACAGTGCTCTGCAACAGCTGCTGCACAATGCTGCAAAGAGCACAGCCGAGCATTGTTTTTCACCATAGACGGTTTAGACACATGTTTCAACTACATGACACCACTTTAATCATAGGGAGAGTAAATCAACTACCTTGAAAAGCCTTTATTTTGGAAAAATGATACATCTTTATTTGCAAAGTACATGAGAAATTCAATGTCCTTGTATGGTGGAAAAAGAATTCTGATGTGTTCCTAATCTTATCTCTGATGGTTAGAGATTTCGTAGCTACCTCGGTGAGCACAGTGTCATTAGAGTCTGCTTTTAGTGCCGTCGGAAGGATTCTAGGGAAAAACTGAACATCGCTTGCTCTAGAGACACTTGCGTTAATTTGTGTGAAGGATTGGCTTTTTGGGTTTAGTGACGAAGAGGAAGGTAAATTTGTTGCCTTTGAACTTTATTTGTTGCACATGAACTGAATAATAACTATTTTTCTTATTCATCAATGTAGGTGAGCAGCTGACCGGACAATGTATGTTCACTTCAGATGATGAGGAAGATGATTAGTGCTACAACCATGTGGTATGTTTCTTGCCCTGCAGGTATTTTATCTATTTTCAATTGATTGTGGTATGCATGAAATGGTAGTGTCCAGCGTCAACAACAAACACTATTGGATTGTGGTATACCATGAAATGAAGTTTGAACACACTTTGATATTCATCATTGTCTAGTAAGCATGCTGCTTGGTTTGGCCTGGACAATCCAGACTCTGCCTAGTTAAGTTTTTGCCTTTTCTGTTTGGCCAGTTACTACTGCTTTGCTTGCTTACGACCACACATTAACGGAGGCTAGTCTTGTCTATGTTTGTATAAGACCAGTCTCAATGGAAATGTTATGGAAGATTTCGTATGTCTTGGCCACTTTTTATCCGCATCGTTGAGTCTTTAGGCCAATGGTCTGATTACTTCACTCTAAGGGTGGATGCCCTTAATCGGCAATGGCTGACTCCACTACAGAAGTGCACTGCGGCTATTCGCCAGTTTGCTATTGGCAGTGATGAACTAGATGAATACTTGAAGATTGGAGAAACTACTGCAATGGAGGCAATATGAAGAATTTTGTCAAAGGTGCTAGAGCTATATTTGGTGAATGGTATTTGAGGCGCCCCACCATGGAGGATACTGAGCCATCTACTCAAACTTGGTGAGAGATGAGGTTTTCTTGGTATGTTCGGCGGCATTGACTGCATGCATTGGCAATGGGAAAGATGGCCAACTGTATGGAAGGGTCAGTTCATTCATGATGATCAGAAAGTGTCGACGTTGATTCTTGAGGCCGTGGCATGATCTTTGGATTTGGCATGTGTTCTTTGGAGTTGCGGGTTCTAACAATGATATTAATGTTTTGAACAAATGTACTCTATTTATTAAAGAGCTAAAAGGACAAGCTCCTAGAGTCCAATACATGGTCAATGGGAATCAACACATCTTAGGGTACTATCTTGCTGATGGAATATACCCAGAATGGGTTGTACTTGTGAAGTCAATACCTATGCCCATTACTGACAAGGACAAGTCGTATGCACAGCAGCAAGAAGGGGCAAGAAAGGATATCAAAAGAGCCTTTGGTGTATTGCGTCGTCGATTTTGCATTTTAAAACGACCTACTCGTCTATATGACCGAGATCAACTCCATGACGTTATGCTAGCTTGCATCATACTTCACAATATGATAGTTGAAGATGAAAAGGAAGAGGACATTAAAGATAATCTAGATCTGAATGTGGCTCCCAGTTCAGCGTCTATTGAAGAACCAGAATTCTCTTCTGATCAGAATGTTATGTTTGACAGAGTTTAGAAAAAGATAGTGTTCGGATCAACTATATCCTGTACGGCATATTTGATTGCAAAACACAAGAAGTAGTAAATGCTACAACAAGCCTATAAAACAGTGAAACAAAACTAGCTATTGAGAGGTTGTTTCACGTTAGTATTGGAAACAGTGGCACGAAACGCTGCATTGAGACTGGCCTAATGCCATGTTTCCTACCAGTAGTAGTTGCACCAAGCCGACAGGGGTTGTGAGCTCATTGCTCAGTGTCACCTTCATTTGTTACTAGTAGATGTCTGTCTCGTTCATAAATATTTCAGATTTTTTTAAAAAAAAATCCATTTCGCCTTTAGTCCCTTCCTCTAGGTTCTTTGGCCATGCACAAGGCTTTTGTTGCCATGCATGAACAGGATACATAACATCCTGGCAGGTTCTTGCTAATTAAATGGGGAACACTAGCCTTGTTTTTGGTGGAAAAAAACTCATTTTTTAGGAGCTGTAGGGTCAACTTCCTAAATTAATATTTCACTCATTGGTGCTGGCAGGTCCAACTTCGTAACAGCAGCACAGTATTTTACATTGTACTTGCTGAATTTGCACATGGTAGAGAAACTAATAATACACATTCAGTAAAATTAATTTAATCTGGATTTTTATATCATGTAGTGACTATTTTCTTCTGGCATAATGTCTTCACGGTTACTTTTCATCTTCAGGATAAATCAGTTGGCCATGATATAGATCAGAAGCTGTGAAGTCATGGCTGGTATCACTACAAAGGAATAATGCTGAATTCAGGAAGCATAGATCACTGAAGTTTCAATGAAGCCAGCCAGATGGAGTTCTGCTTGGCATGTTGAGCCTTTTTTTCATTAGCACCATTCTCAACAAAAAAAATTGATGTATACATTGTCTGGTTTCCTAATTTGTTTGGAACTATAATTTTTTTTAGGCAAGGCACATATGAATTTTCTTGGACAATAGTCCCAACTCCCAACGGCGGCAGGATGCTGACGATCGTCCAGCATGGCGGCTGGCAACCCCCTAGTGTGACAATTATAGCGGTTCACATGCATGTCTTCATGTCATAATTTACATGAACAATCAGTTACTCTGAAACCTAAGTAGGACAATGAATAGTGACATCATCTATCATGTTCGCAATATAAGGAGTTATATACATCTTCACTCAAAGCCTGATGCTCCTAGGCTGAGTCCAACACAAAACATCCATGGGTCCTAGCTACAATGCAGCTCGTCCTTGGCCCTTTGGTAGCTTCTTTGTTCCAGAGTCTTCCACATCCTTTAGTTGGTAATAATGTGGTGCTATCTCTACCAGCCATTCAGGCTTCAGTTCCATCACCTGGCGCATAAACTCTTTTGTTGTGAGAACCAATTCATGGTATACTACCCACCGCGGACGTATCTCCGCTAATCCTGAACTAGGATGGATATGTACGGTCTGAGGGTTCTTGACAGTCTTATATGTACCATCCCTCTGCAACCATGCAGAATGATGGAAGAAACCTGATGTTATAGCTTTTTTAATAGCATCTAAATCACTGGCATTTGAGCAAATCTCAATCTCAACTCTTTCCATAAGCCCCTGTAGTTGATCCCGAATATCTCTTGCCCTCTTCATGCTGCGCACCTGTATATAGTTTTCATAACACCATTGAGTTTAATAGTCTGTTTCTTTCCAAGAATTATACACATTTAGTAGTGCTATATGGTCCCCAACATTGCCAGTGTGGAAGTTCAACCTTGCATTATCTGCGTGAACTTGTTTGTCCTTCGGACGATAAAATATAGAATTGCCAATTGACAACATGGATGCAATGGAGATGATCTCGTCAGAACACTTATATTTCTCTGAAGCAACAATCATCTTCGACAACATAGGATCCAGTGGAAATTCTGCCATTCTTCTTCCAGTCTTGGTCAACTCTCCACGACTGTTGAGTGCACTGAGAGCAAAAAGTTGTTCCAGAGCCCTTAATAGGGCTTCTGATGGAGGTGGATCCATGAAGTCAAAGTTAACTAAGTCATGAATACTGTCGCAGAACCGACCAATTTATAAGAATACAAGTACAATGGCAATCCGCAAGCGGTCGCACTGTCATACTTGAACCCATATAAACCCGGTAGTCCGTCGAGTACCACGACGGGTCTCGATAAACGATTTACAACAACCAAGATTGTACAGGATTCAACATACATGCCACATATTACATAAAGTTCACAGATACTTTTCATCATCAGAGTACGAATAAAAGTTATTACAAACCGAGTTTGATAAATAAAGCGGAAGCAAATAAGTTCGAAGATAAGGTTTCCAACATAGTTTGATACAGTGCCAAGCTAGATCACGGTCCACAAAAGCAAGGATAGGAATTACTAAAGAAGCCTGCCCAAGGCTTACTCCTCATCCACAGCGGGATAGAAGCAACTTTTGCAATAACCATGATACACAGTGCCATCTGCAACAATGGGAAAAATAAACCCTGAGTACGAGAAGGTACTCAGCTAGACTTACCCGTCATGAACCAGAAATAAAATGACTCCAAGGATTATGCAAGGCTGTATAAGTGGACGTAACTTGACAATATTTTGCGAAAAAGGCAACTGATCCGTTGTACCATTATGATTCCTTTACCAAGTTAATTATCACTATTCATTTCTAGATTAGCAACTATCCTGTGCCAAACATGTGGTATATCCTTTAGAAGCATACAATAGTAACCATAGCAGGTATTGTAATTCTATTTTCATCCGAACCATCATGTTCCATAACAAAGTTACTACGATGTTGGAGCTAGCCAAGTTTCTCACTATCCGAGAGAGACGGCGATTCGAATCGATTTCAACCAGCTGGGAATTTATTCCTAACACAAACCCAGGTCTATCAGCCACGATAGCCTTAGGTCACCTTTGGTACAACTCCGGTACACATTTCGCGGGTCCGTACTGCGCCGCACAATCTGGAACACCAGATGCCAGGATGCTCAGGCCAAGCCTGCCCTTGGGCTCAATCTAATTGTTCCCGGAAGGAGCGCTGTGAGCGATTCCCACCTGAGTTGAATTACTCTCGGCCGTGGTCGGAACGAATTATCCGCCAGCTAAGTGAGAGAGGCATGCGCGTTCAATCTTGTCGGAAGTTCCAACAACAGTACGGTCCTTGATCGACACTGACGGGGATAGATCCACACCCAAGACCTCCATGTCTTGTTGCTTCTCTATCGATATCCCGCCCGGTCTCCAATTTTATTAACCATGGTTCTTTTCCACGATAGCAATTTTAACCAACCGTGCTCCGGTATCCACCTATATCTCGCAGGTGACCGGAAATCACCCGACTTCTACCGTTCTAAGCATGGCTAAGCATTTATTCGATCACGGACCTATATACGGTTAAAGGTGTAATATCCGGACAAGGAATATACATGCATCAAGTGGTTTCATTCAACTCTTATAACCTAATGCAGCAATCATAAGTACTTAAGTAAACATTTGTAAATTCTTTGGGAGACTTATAATGCTCCGGGCTTGCCTCATGAAAGGAAGTAGGGCGGTGGTCGGGGCACTCGGAAGCTCTTCGGGGTTACGCTCCACGCCTTCGAGGCTGCGGCTTGCGGATCCTCCTTTGGTTCCTTCCTCTCGCTTCTTGAATTCCAGCAATGTGATCTCTTCCTCCGATCCTAGATGCATGAGTATGGCATAAGTATTACGAATGCATATATGTTAACAAGTGCATCATGTTTATTGAGTAGGTGCATATCTCTTCTCGGTTATTTAATTATCTTTCCATAATGCATCGATTATACCATAAAATAGCAGCTACTTGCTTCACTCATAACGGGAGTTCTACAAATCCAAATCCAGTGATCCTGGACTTTCTGGAAAGCTTATCAAATTCTCTACAACTTTGTTATTAACCATTTTTACAGTACACATCATTTTCAACATGCAACTCATCAAACTCTAGAATCAGTCCGGAAACTATTCAACATGCAACATAAAGTAACGATACTTCTACTTCATGTAATCATTCAAAATTTGACAACATAGAATCCACCAACAGTTTAAGCATACCAATTACATTTAGAATCATATAATGGTGAAGCCCAAACTATTTATTTAATTGCCTTTATCATTTTATTTATATATCTAGGTTAAATAATAAATATATATCAGAAGTACTTAATAAATTCTCAAAAATTTACAGTGCCTTACTAATGCTATCAAAGGACTACTATAAAAATTTCATGTCATTTTACCAAGTAGAACATCCTATGCAAAAATGACAAGGCATCAAGGCTTGAAATAGCATAAATGGAAAACCCTATTGAAAAGTGTCAAGCAACAGATTTCCTATTTTTCTTAGCATCCATATGGTACTAGGATTACCTCCAACAAATTTCATGAATTTTGGACTCATAAATAATTTATAAAAATTTATGCAAGGATTGACTATCCATAAAAGAAAAATCTATAACTATAAATCTACCCATGCACTGGTCCCCAAATTTTTACCAGAGCTCATATATGCTAAGATTAGCTTACCACAAAAATTTCATAATTTTTGGAGCACAGGAACTCTAGATATAAAATAAACAAATTTGAATGCATTCAAATGCACATTTCAAATCCCTATTTAAATCTCCAAAAATTTCTACTGTACAAGTCAAGAACATAGTTTTCCTAAATACTACTCTTCCTAAGGAACACTCACAAATTTATTTCACAATTTTAGGAGCTATCAAACTGAAGATATGAAAATCACAAAAGAAATAAAAAACTGGAATCAAATGAGCTATCCTTCAATCATCATTGTCACGACCGGTGGGACCTTTGGTCGGGGACCTACGCGTCGATGACATGAAACAGGCAGCGGCGGCTGCTTGGCCTCGCGCTTCTTGGCTGCGGCTCGTCGACGGCGAGCCGGCCGTGGTGGTCTTCACGACACATTCTCATCGAAAGCGCTCGTCGAACGACCTAGGTGGTGGCGGGTGAGGTGGGTGGAGCATGCTCGTCGTCGGTGATGGCGGCGACGGCGGCGCTGCTTCGATCGTCATCTTGGCCATCTCCGACCATGGGAAAACTAGGCGGCGCGCATAGCGGTACCACGGTGACCTAGCGACTCTATCTCAACAACAAAAGCTCCACGCAAAGCTCCAACGACGCATGGCCACGGTGGTGCGGTGGCGCGGAGGTTAGATGCTGCGGCGGTATTTGGTTGTCACGTTCCACGCCGGCGGGACAACCAACCAAGGTGACATCATAGCACCAGCTAATACACATCCCTAACCCAATGCTAACGCTCAAAATCAAAGGGAAGAAAGCGAGCGATAATAAATGGCGAGCTTGCCATGGAGGCGGCCATGGCGGCCGAGGTTCAGCGAGAGGGAAAAGGAAATACGCCTCACCAAGGCGCAATAGAAGCAATCAACGCGTCGTGGTGGTGGAGGGAGGTGCGACGCAGCTATGGGCGAGATGGAGGCGGTGGTGGTGCGGCCGCGATGCAGCGAGATGATGACAGGAACTGCGCCGGTGCTGCGGGAGCTCGGCGGCTGCTGTGTGGGGCGAAGGAGGAGGCCGGAAATTGAAAATGGGCGCAGGATGGCTCAGGCGGCATTTGGCGGGGGGATTCTTGGCTCGCGTCGGCCTGCCTTGGCCATGGTGGGTAAGGGTGTTGGTGACGCTACGGCCGTCGCTTGTGACACTGTGGCGCGCGTGCGGTTTCTGCCGGTGTCGCCATCGACGCCGTGATTCAGTTCGCTCATACAACCCGAAGCCGAGCCTGACGCCGAGTTTTCACGCTGATACAACGGCTAATCCATGGCTCCAAATCGTAAACCGTCTTGACAAAAATCCTAGCCCTATGTACCAGCTTCAACTTTGATTAAGAGAGTAAGCTCGATTCGCAATGTAAACGGAGAAAAACGTGCTCAAGGTGGGCTTGTCGGTGCATCGAGGATCCAGACTTAGAAAATTTTTCTTAAGTGTTGAAAGTTGGATTTTGCTGATTTTTGTGGGACCTATTCAAGCATTTTAGAAGCTAAATCAGTCAATGACCCAAAAATAAAAGTTGTTCCTTACGTCAAACACTACAACTTTGATTTAGTGAACTCCTCCATGCAAGGTCTCTAACACCTAGTTCAACTTTGGTCAAACATGTCACTTTTGAATGATGAAACACATCAAAGCATGGCTTAATGACCAAACTAGCCCTAGCCCTAAATACCAAAGTTGTTCATGATGATACTCTAAGCATGTTTAAGCAATTTGCAAGGTCATTTAAGCATTTCATGTAGTAGTCACTCATAGAGCTATCCAGGTCAACACGTAATATTACTTACGTGCTTGATCATGAAAGGTGACCTTCATGAACAAGGTTCCTTTTGTTAACCTAAGTGTAGCTAAGGTGTTTTAGTGACTAACATTACCCACTTGCATTCATTTGCACATGATCATATGCATATGTTCCAAGAAACACGAAATAACAAGCAATGTTTCATATGTTTCGATCACATGTTTCAATTGTAAATGATGATTTATGAATGCTTGATGCTCATGCTCATGTTATGCAAGTCAAGTTATGCAAGGCTAACACCCGAGGTGTTACAGCCCCTCCCCCTTATAAAAATCTCGTCCCGAGATTTGCAAGACCTACCATTCTTGGAAAAAGGCGGGATAAACTTCTCGTAGATAATCTTCTCTTTCCCACGTAGCATCTTGTTCACTATGATTGTTCCACACCACCTTATAGAACTTAATAATCTTACTCCTTGTTACTCTCTCCATTTCTTCTAATACTCGAATTGGCTTTTATTCATAGGTTAAATCCGATTGAAGCTGCACGTTGGTGGGTGCAATAGCTTCTTCCGGTACTCGAAGACATTTCTTTAGCTGAGAAACATGGAACACATAAAAGATTGCACTCATCTCTGGTGGAAGTTGTAGCTTATATGCAACCTTCCCTTTTCGTTCCAAAATTTTGTATGGCCCTACATATCTTGGTGAAAG